AATGCCTTTCTATTAAATGAACTGTTGCCAGTGTTGGGCTCATGAGGCACTATTTAAAATGTTTTTTAATTAAAATGATCTTGTAGCACTTAAAAAGGTTTTGTATAAAAATTGCTGTAAAGATTTGTAATACGGTCAAAAGGGCTCTCTCTCCTTCATTACCATTTTTTAATGTTTCAAAGGCTAGAAAACAACTTGTATATATTCTGTAAATGTATAGCAGCACATTTCATTTATGGAAATATGTTCTCAGAATATTTATTTACTAATATATTTATCTTAAGCCATGTCTTATGTTGAGAGTGTGTGACATTATTGGAATAATCATTGAAAATCACTAACATGAGGCCCTGTAAATACATGATAATTGCACACAAAGATTTTACAATATTTGCCGACCAAAAAATGATTAAAAACAAGTTGTAGTTCTTTACAGTTTTGTAACCAAGTGTACAAATGTCTGTAAAAACAAGCAAACAAACAAACAAAAAACCCACAAAAATACAGTTTTATCAACTATACATTTGAAAGTTGTCCTTCTTTCTGGGGAGAAAGGAGCTGACTCCATCCTGCCCCTCTGAAGGAAATCCTGCGTGCCTGCAGGTGACATGTTTTCAAACAGACTTGTAAGGAAGACCCGTGGAAGCTGATTTGGTTTGGTGTCGGTGAAAGTTGCATTGGTGATGGGCCCAGGTGTAGGTGTGCCTTTTTCTCAGCCACTCCCTCTGCTTGTAGTGACTGTCCTGCCACTAAACTCTTCTTTTTGCAATCCTCAGCAACTAATCGCAGCGAGTGAGCTGCTGTTCACAGAAACCACCAGCAATCGGAAAACCCTATTAACAGAACCACACCAATATGCACGTAACTCAATGTGCAATATATTTATTTATTTATTTATTTATTTTTTATTTTTTTTTCAACCCTCTGCTCTCTGCTCTTCCGTAACCCCTATCAACGTGCTATTTCTCATTACAGCGTTTCTCAGCCCATGGGTCAGGACCAAAAGTGGCTCACAAGAATATGTGAAAGGGTTGCAAACAAACTTTAAAAATGGATTCTCCTTCAAGGGAGAAAGATGTGGGCAACCAGGGCTTGTCCCTTGCGGGCTGTCGTAGCTCCAGCCTGCAAGGGGTTGCTTAGGGCCCCCCTGCCCCACACACTGTGGGGCTGGGGCCTGGGAGCAGCGGGTCAGGAGTGAGGAGCACTGGGTCAGGACTGGCCATCGATGCTTTATAAATGGGTTCTGGGACAAAAAAGGTTGAAAATCACTGTCTCGTTATACTGTCAGCTCTTTGGGGCAAGGAGCATCTTTCCACCTTTGCAGTTAGCACACCAAACACATTTGGGGCAGCATAAAACAGTGGGTGCTTGGTTCTGGCGCGCACATACCCCTTTGTAAATCCAGCATCTGCTTTGACAAATGTTAGCTTTCTCACTTAGGAGGAGGCTGCCCAGGACTGGAACAGCTGGCGATGCTGCCGCAGAACAGGTATGAAATGTTACCGGTCCTGGGGAAGGGAATGGCACTAAAATAATGAAGTTAGGAGTTGAGTTAAATGCACGGGACGCACCCAGGCAAAATGCTTTGTCAGGGGTTTTGGGCAAAGTTGGGCTTGATGGTAGTTTCGCAAAGGTGGGTAGGACAGAGAAGTACAAAGCTCTGTCCCTCGTGTTGGGAGATTAAAGGTAATGTGCTTAATTACTCCTTATCCTCCTTGGCTGCAGTTTGTATCTGGGGGATCACCTGACATATTCCATGGTGCTGGCCTCACAACACCATCATACAAGGCTCTGCAAACTAATACGCTGGGGAAAAAAGCTCTCCCCCCGTGGAGTCCAGAAATGAATAGCTAAGATGCATCTTTAATGTACCTGTCCTGGAGTCTTCCCTTCACTTTGGCAGCTCTTTAGCGGAATGATCTTCCTTACGGGTATTTTGTCTGGTCTTGTGGCGGTGTAGACATAGAAAAGCAGGAGATTAAAGCAGTCTTAGAAAAATTAAAGATGCTGAAGCATAACCAAAAGATGGTAAGGGATGGAGCGTGTGTGTTTGGGGGAGGAGGGGTTCGTGTTTTCTGACTATTAGTTCTCGGTGGGAGGAGTGATGGTTAAGGCAAAGACTCGGATTAGGCCTAATGCTGTCTATTTAAAATTCTCCTGCAATCTGTTAAGACCTGTCTAGTTGCTTATTATAATGTTGCTAAACGTTAAGTGTGCAGCTGAAGTTTTTGGTGCTAAATGCCTGCCTTCAGTGTGTTTGGAAAGCTTCAGCCAAAACCATTAGATCATTCCTTAGGATTAGATCAGATGCATAATTTTGCTCATGTTGAAACGTAAAGGAGGATGGTTTTTCCCAGCCCCTTTCTCTCTTGCCTGGCTTCGGGGCTTGCAGGTTGGTGCACGCTGTGGCGTGGGACTCCCCGCCTGACTCCCGCAGGAGGCTGCGCGCGCGGCCCCTCCTGCTGCCTGTGTCTGCACCTGGGGCAGGGGCTGGGATGCCTGTGCCGGGAGGGAGGAGTCCCCCCAGTGTGGCGCGGCAGGGTGGGGCAAGGAGCAGCGGCCCCTGCGAGGCTCTCGAGGGTGGTCGCGGGGCTGTGGCCAGAAGGAGGCTCCCAAGGGAAAGGCGAGTGGGATCCTCCGGCCCTGGTCTCCCCGGCCCCAGGCCCACGCAGGAGCGTGATGGCTCCACGGTACGGCGCAGCCACTGTCCTAGCGGCAGGTCAAGGTGCAAGTGTCTCTGGGTAACGGGAGCTCAGCTAACGTCCCTCGGTTACCCTGCGTCCCAATGCAAAAAACTTTCAGTCACTCAGTATCTGGAGGCCACGCGTTACCCAAGACTATTACTTAATAGCTTCCTCAAGTGCCTGTGTACCCATCTGGACAGACGCTCGGTACGAGCGCTTCACTTGGCTCGGGCGTGCCTTGTTCTGAAAGCTCTCCAAGCGGACGGGACCCTGTGCCAACAACGTGTCGTTCGCCAGCTCCTACCCGCTGCCGTCCCTCTGCTGCAAAGCCCCGTTCAGCCCTGGTCCTCCCAGCATCTGCCACGCGCTGCCTCCTCCCTCGGAAACCCCTCGGCTGATGGACGCGGCTGTGACCTGCCAGGGACGCTCGGGCGGTCTCTGCCGGCGCTCTCCCCGCGCTGCATGGCCTTGTCTGTGCTAGGACTGCCCTCGCTGCCCCTAGCGCAGCAAGCACGCGGGCAAGAGCAGCCCTGCGCTCCTCAGAAACCCAGGGGCTGCCGTGTTGTGTGGCCATTACACCGCACAAGGGGGAGGAGAGCAGTTTACTTCGCCCCCAGGCACTGAAAAGCCAGGAAGAATCTGGCCCTGAGAACTGGTGAGATGGCGCTGTTGGTCTTCCTAGGATCATAGTACTTAGGGCCGGAAGGGACCTAAATGGATCATCAGGTCCGACCCCCTGCCCTGGGCAGGAATGGGTGCCAGGATCATATCACCCCAGCCAATTATCTGTCCAGCCTCCCCCAAGATGGGGGAGAGCACCACCTCCCTTGGGAGCCCAGGCCAGAGCCTGGCAGCCCTCACTGTGAAGTAATATCTCCTGATGTCCAGCCTGAACCTTCTCTAACAATTTGTGGCCGTTATTCCTTGTAACCCCGGTGGTGCCCGGGGAGCAGAGCTCCCCCAGTTCTCACTGGTCTCCCCTCGTGAGTTTGTAAACGGCCACTAGATCCCCTCAGCCTTCTCCTGTGGAGGCTGAACAGGTTCAGGTCCCGTCGCCTCTCGTAGGGCCTGCCCTGCTGCCCCCGATCATGCGAGTGGTGCTCCCTCCTCTGGGCCCTCTCCATGCTGGCCACATCGCTCCTGAAGTGCGGCGCCCAGACCTGGATGCAGTCCTCCAACTGCGGCCTGACCAGTGCTGCACAGAGGGGAAGGATCACCTCCCTGGACCTGCTCGTGATGCATCTGTGGATGCACGACAAGGTGCGGCTGGGCTTCCTGACGGCTTCCTTGCATTGGTGGCTCATGTCCATCCTGGAGGCAACAATGACTCCAAGATCCCTTTCTGGCACCGTGTTGACAAGACGGGGGTTCCCCAGCCTATAGGGGTGTTGCTGGTTCCTCCTCCCTAGATGCAGCACCTTGCACTTGTCTGTGTTGAACTCCATCCTATTCTCATCTGCCCACCTCTGCAACCTGTCTAGATCTAGCTGGATTCTGTCCCCCCCACCTCCAGCATGCCCACCTCGCCCCACATCTTGGTGTCATCAGTGAATTTGGACCGCGTGCTTTCCACCCCCACATCCAGATCACCGATGAAGATGTTGAACAGCGCAGGCCCCAGGACCGAGCCCTGGGGGACCCCACTGCCCACATCCGTCCAGGTCGAAAATGACCCGCCCACCACCACTCTCTGGGCGCGACCATCTGACTACGTAGGCATCAATGCCACCGTCACCAAGATTTTTTTTAGGAGAATGTGGTGGGAAACAGTGTCAAAGGCCTTCTTAAAGCCCAGGAAACAGACATCCACCCTTATCCAGGGACTTTGTGACCTGATCATAAAAAGAAACCAGGTTAGTCAGGCAGGACCTGCCCGCAATGAACCCGTGTTGGTTGCCCCTGAGCAGTAGCTCCCATGCTGGGCCCTTGCAGATGTGCTCCTTGATAATTTTCTCAAAGGTCTTCCCAAGGACCAATGTAAGACTGACTAGCCTATAATTGCCAGTAATTGTGGCGGAAGTAATTGTCTTGATGAACCTGAGAGAGACCAGGGTGTCCTAATGGTCCTGGGAGTAAATACACGTCGGGGGCTTGCCGAGTCTGAGGGACAAGATCACAGGGGGGGCGGGGGGCAACTTGCAGAGCCGCGCTGGCAGGAGCGCCACAAGAGGAATGTGCAGTGACGGGAACAGCTGTTTCATCAGCGTGTGTTCAGCCATGTCAGCCTGACCCTTATCAGTGGTCATTTGCAGTATCTGCCAAATAAATTAACATCGCTGCTTATTTTGTTACAGTGTATAGAACATTTATTCCTTCCAGAATGTAAACTAATATATATTCCTGCTTCGAAATGTGACCAAGATACAAGCACATTACATCATTTTTAAATAAAACATTTCCTAAATATATATATATATATATATATATATTACTATAGCTAACACATCACACTTTCTTATATTTTAATATCTCCTTAAATAATACAATCTCTGTTTTTCCCCAACAGTGGGATAGTAAGACAAAGGTACATGGAAAACCAGCCTTGGAAGCAGAAGAATACCCGCATTGCTATCCCCAGAACACAAGATGCATTGACTTAAGTGATCTAGAGTACTTAAATGAACGTGCTACTTTTGAGCGTCAATCCCGGTTAAAGCCCTGAAGGGCTGCTGCCTCCTTTGAAGCAGATGTGAGGGAGGGTGGGCCAAAGGCCATGGGGGTGAGATTCCACACAAATTCCTGCTCGACGATTAGTTTTGATTTGTCTACACAAGTACTGGAGAGACAGGAGTGTCACACCTGGAGGGATGCCCTCAGGTTGAACTGCTCTCAGATGCTAAATTGCCAGCATGGCAGAGGGAGTTCCTAGGAGGCCGCATGGGGAGGGATTTGGTGTCAGACATCGACTTACTCCTGAAGCCACAGAACAGAGGACCCCACCGCTCCGGGTGTCCTGCACGTTGGAGGGATGGCTAGCTCTACTATAGGCATGTCCACGTTTCTGTGGAAGTTGACCAGGCTGAAAGTCCTGGCATAATTCTGGGAAAAGAAGTAGCCTCAGGTTGTAAGGAGGGTGCTTAACAGGAAAAACGATCAACTGCACTTCGGTATCATATCATTCTTAACTACTGCTTTCGGAGGCCAGGTCTGGGATCAGTGTGTCTGGAAGAATAAGAGAAATGAGTGTTTTTGTCCCTTCCCTTCAGCATGTTTACCGTGCGTGGTTCCCCAGTCGTAGTCATGTTCTCTTCTTGCCCCACATGATCTTTTCAGTTGATCTGGTGCTTGTATGGTTGCTTCATGCAGCAGAAGGACATTCAAACAAATTGAAAACCTCAGAAGACATTTTCAAAAGATAAATAAGCAGAGGCTCTCAAGAACAGGTGCAACATGGCAAAGGTCTATGTTAATCCCGTTTTGGAAACTGGCTTGATTTCATGTTGATGGTGCTAAGCATTTTAGAAAAATGAAATTCCTACAACTTAGGACAGAAAAGATAAGCAGGAAAGTGTCCCGCTCCCTCCCCTGCCAGGGAAGTGGCCCAGGACACCCCTGATAGGCACCCATCCAGAACTGAGAGCTGCTTGTTTCGTGAACTCCGAGGAGCCAAACTGATCTTGTGAGGTTAGAAAGAGATCAGAGGCACTGCCCGGATTAAAAAAAAGCGCTGTAGAGAGCAGCGAAGGGGTGGAACAGAGCCCAGAGCACCGCTGGGCCTGGCTTTGCACCAGAACAAGGCGTGAGGGAGCGGACCCGTGCTGGGGGTGCACGTTCAGTGATTACTACCGAGTGAATGCCAGCGCAGAGTTACTGAACCGCATTTCCTCTCCCTATCTGTGGCACTACAGTAATGTCCAACTGCATGCTTGAGAAGAAAGGCAGGCGATGCATTTTGTCATTCCTCTGCTTTGTATGACTTCTGGTTAAATGCAAAGTCCCCTGGAAAGTTAACCTTCCTACACAGTGAAAGAGGTGGGGCTACAAGATTTCCATCAGTGTGGCTAGCAGGAGCCAAGATGCCATCTACCAAGGATGCAGGGGCATGTCTGCCTCTCCAAGCATGAGCATAGACCGGTAATGCAGGCAGAGTCTATGGTAGGTGCGGGATTGTGTTTGGGCTTTCCCCCTCGCTTGCCCCTTCAATCTTTTGGCTCGGGGCAAGTGAGAATAGGAGGCATCTGAACCCCAAGGCTTCCAGGCTTGGGCTTGCCCGTAGGATCCTGCCATGGCTCTGGGAGGATCTGAAGCCCCAGACTGAGTGTGGGACGTAGGAGACCTGCTGGTGGTAGTGCCACACCGACTTGAATGATTGAGCTCTGCTCAGTCGAAATTTGGAACTTAATTTGGAACTGATATGGCCCTAGAAACAGAATTTTATTAAATAATAAATGGGTACAAAAATCCTGCCAGGGCTGCACCCAGAGACCGTTAATAATGAATAAATACATGAGCGTTTTTACACTATTTACCACCAAGAACAGGCTTTACTGAAGGTACGTACACACTGCTGTCACCGATGCCTCCCAGTTCAGGCGCTGGCAGCGTGGCAGTTCGGAGGGCTGCAAAACTCACCTGCACATAGGCAGATTGCCCAGACTGAGCTGCGTGCTGCCACAGCTGCACTGGGCCCTAGGAGACCGAAGGGTTAATGTGCTTTTCACCAAAATATTCCCTCCCCTGAATTTTATCAGTGCTTTAATTACCTTTCCAAGCAACTCTTCTAACAGGTTCAAGCAAGAAGGCACTAGATGTTCCCATGTATTCACCTCTTGCTAGAAACTATGTGGTAATTACTGGCTGAGTGAAGTCTTTCTGCTCCGCGCAGCTCTTGCAGAGCGGTTGCACTGCCTCTGGCGCCTGTCTGCCAAGTGAACACGGCTGTGCGTGGACTCGGTCAGGATCCACAACGGGCTTGGACTCAGCGCTGCGATGCTCAAGTCCGAGGCTCTGGGCTGCTGAGTGCAAATCGCTGCCCCGCATTAGACGGCAGGCCCCAGGCTCCCCACACACTGCACAGGTGGCAGTTAGCCAGCTGGCTGGCCAGCTGCCTAGGCTAGCCAGCGGCACTGCTGCGGAGGGGTGCGGTTGGTGCTCTGCTCCCCCTGGTCCGTAGGTAGGTAGGTGGGTGTCTTCCTCTGGGCATGAGGGCAGCCCTGACCTCCATCCCCAGTCCAGAGAGGGTTCAGTGCTTTGGGACCAGCACTAAGCCCCACCACTCCTTCCTGGCACAGCGGAGGAGGTGCTGCTGCAGCTGCCTGTGCCATTGTGCGCCACCGCCCAGTGCTGATCTGATTTGCACAGGGATTTAATGCAGCACTGCATCCCAGGGAGCATCCACGCCTCTGGGCTGAGGGGTCGGCTGGGTGTGGCCCCACTCTCCCCTCTTGAAACTCTTCAGCTTGGTATAAAATCCTGAATATTTACTGGAGCAGGAACTAGTTCCCAGGGGAGTGCCCCAACCCTCAGGCTGCAACGTCATGCTCTCTGGCCCAGTGCGGGTCCCTGGGAGACGCGGCGGTGGAACCGGAAACGCCCGCCGGTGGCAGCGCGGATGCTGAGGACCTGAGTTGTGGACACAAGTGGCACAGAAGTGCCCTGCTTCCTTAGACCAACACGGCTAAAACCTACACCCCTGCTTCCTTCAGGAATCTTGCCCAAAGGGTTGGGCCACTCGGTACCACACCAGTGATCTGGGAATACGAATGAAAGTCTGCCATAGGTTCTTGAACAAACTGAGAAAGGGACAAGCGGCATCTCGTTTCACAGCCGACAGACTCGGCAGGTCTGAATCAAAACTATACCTCTTGTTCCCGAGCTGCTGTGCTCTGTAAAGCTGCAGTCCTAGTGTGCTTTCCCATCTGAGATCATATCACTGTTTTCCAAGATACAAAATGAACAGTCCCAACAGCCTCCAATTAGATGCCGAAACAGTTTTTTGCTTTTCTAGCGGGCATGAGATATGTCAGACTAGCAAAAATTGCATATTTCTACAGTCCCTTTCCTTTGTTTAAGCCTTTTTTTTGGCTTCCTATTACAGGGGTCCCCAGTTTCTTGGCTCCATTCCCCAGCTGATGACATCCAGGGCGTGAAGCGTGCTGAGAGAGGTGCTGGCCTATCCTATCAGCGTTGCTAACAGCCAGAGAGCACTGGAGCTCGGACTTCAGACATAAAAGCTCCCCATTTTTCCAGACGTCTGTCATTCTGTTTCCAGTCCCTTCGCTCTCAGGCTCTTGGGGAGCAAAATGTAGCTTCCTCGTGGTCTGATTCAAAAAAAGAAACGTTTGCTGAGGAGCATGGAGTAGCACAGCTGTTCTTTTTTCTTTCCCCGTGACTAATATATAAGCCTGAGAGCACCAGCATTTTTGTTACTCGTCTGTCTCCCTGTTCTTCTTGCTTCACCCCTCTGTTCACCACAGCAGTTTCCTGCAGCCTGCCTCTTCCCCCTTCTTGCAGAAGGCTTGTGATGGAAGAAAAATTATTCCTTCTTTTTAAGGACCCTGTCAATTTTATCACAGGATTTTTATGGCACAGGCTACCTGACACGAGCATTTATTCTTATCCTTTAAAATTGGGATTCATTTAGAAGGGCCTTGCTGAACTTCACTGTTTTGTTTGAGCAACTTGTTGCTCGCGATCCCGTGCAGGGCGAGCTCGCTGTCCTGCAGCTCGCTGTGGTTTGTGGAGGTCCTCTTTCGTGTAAGTACGGCGGCCTGAACCTCCAGAGTGCAGGGCCCTTCCTGCTCGTGCCCGCGGTGAGCAGGGAGAAGAGCTGCCTGGGCAGAGGTGCCGTCAGGGAGAGCTCTCTACCCGGTAGGGAAATGGCTGTGGGGGCCAGGGCCCGTTTGCATCTCGGCCCTGTGAGAGTAATAGGGCACTTTGGCAAACACGAGGTTAAGCGTGGAGGTTTGGAGTAATGAAGCACTACGATTCCTGGCAGGTTGTGACTGGACAAGATGCCTGCATCAAACATGCCCAGAGCCTGGGGTCACCCTGACTGGAGCCTGCTACGCTGTGGTTGGGTAATGGTCCCTGGGCAAGCCCAGGGCCCACGGCGTGGTGAAGCTTCTCTGGGATTGGCCTTATGCCATGGTGTAGTTAATTGGATGTGGGCAGCAGCCAGAGCAAAGGTGTGGAGGCAACTTTGAGGTCCGTGGCTGTTGGAAAGAATTAAAGGGCTGCATGTGGCCCTTATTTGGGCCGCTGAGAGTACCTGGCAGATGGGTGAAGCTTTGCAGTTTGACTGGGACCTGAAGTTGCTAGAAAACATGTCCTAAATGATTTGTTTTGTAAAGAGACGGTCACAGAGCAGGGACTGTTTTACCCCGACTTTGCGTTGTTGTTGGACCCTGGTAATGGATCAGGAGTCAGCAGCGTGAGCACAACTTCAGAAACACACACATGGAGAAAGTCCTGTTTCTCCTGGACGCTGGAGCCCTGTGGTGAGCACAGCTCCATGAGCAAGCCGGAGACTGAAACCATTCCCCAAGGCAGAGCGGGCCAGCATAGAAGTCATGGAGAATGGACGTGTCCTCAGCTGACGTGACTTGCTGCCGCTCCGTTGACTTGAGTGGAGCCACGGCCATTTCCACTCCAGCCCCACTCTCTCTGTCACCACACACCCCTGATTTCCGTGTTGGAGAATACCTTTTGTGATAGCTCAGAACAGTCGGATGTTGAGAGTGAGACTGTGGTGCTAATGTTTCCAAAGCCTCCTGGAACAAAGCTGTCTCTCCAGTACTGCAGAGTATGAAGACAGCTGTGCTGGTATAATCCCATCCTCTGCATCAAAGGGACTGAAGAGAAAGCACTCTTGGCCTGGATATTGTTAGGAATAATATCCCAAACCACTTTCAGCCCCAAATCCTACAGCAGCAGCTGTCACTTTTCTTGGCCTCAATTGTGCTTTGTTTGGTTAGATTTCCTGAGTTGGTTGTTGCTGGTCTTCTACATTTCTCTTCCCCATTATTGTACAAGTGGGTCTTGGCTTTGCTTTGATTACTCACATTACATACTTCCACCTCACGCTGAAGACACAGCCCAGCTGTTCTGCCACTTCCCTTTCTTCTGCAGACTGGAATGCGCAGCCCGGGCAGCCTGACTTAGCGCTGGGCTGTGGATTGTCTGCCACGATTCTGTGCCTGGCCCCACAGTTTTGCGGAAGTATGTAATGCACTTAAAATATGGTGTTGATAAGGTCATAATAGAAACAGGTGCGAGGGCTAGATGCATCAAGGAGTCTCCTGTACAGAGACATTGAGCCTGCTGTCTAGACACGAGCAGAGGAATGCTGGGGAGGCTGAAGTCCCGAGGTATGGAAACTATTGCTTCTTTTTTCAGCTGCTCTCACTGCAGAGACTCCATTTTTAAACAACAAACAGTTTCTAAAGCATACATAATCGTTTACAGATTTTGCTGGTGTGCTTAAACAAATCTGCTATGCTCCAGGTTGATCTTGCCCTTTCTCATCTTTCTCACATCCCAGTTTGGGGTCTACGGGGATTACATATGCATGTCACATCTTTCCAGGTGCCTTGAGGACAATGTTTGTGTTTTTGTGTTTTGGCTTTTTTCTTTTCTGCTGATGCACACATCCCTTTTTGGTCCCCTAAAGCACCGCAGGTTTCTCTGTCAAACCCATATGCAAGCATCCGTGTTTACTCTCACACTCCAGCTTGCTGGAACATATATCCATTTGTTACAGATCTCTTGCCCCAATATGTATGCGTTTGCTTAAGGCACTTGGGTTCAGGGGCTGTGCAGATGTGCAAACGATCCAGTGGTTACAGGACACACACACACACACACACACACACACACACACACACACACACACGCTCGTGGATTACACATCAGAAAACATAATCCTACTCGCGCTCTACTCTACTTCTAGACTGCATGAGGTTTTTGGCAATTGCCTCCCCTTTAAAAAAGGATTAAATGGTTCTTGCTGAGTGCTTCTGAGACATGGCACGCTGGACTGCTTCTAACTGGCAGACTTGGGCACAGAGATATTGCTTTGCTTCTATCATTGTCTTTACTGGTGAAGAGAAGGAACAATGACATACCCAGCAGTAATTTGCCAGCTACCATGGATCCCTTGTAGTGCCCTGACCCTTTGCTAATGGGGTAGATTAGATCTCCAACGTTTGCTGCGAGGATTCTTGATTGCTGTCTTCACCATCTGAAGTTTACTGGATTGCCAGCTTGATTTTCAGTCTTTGGTAGGCAGCACAGTGGTCACATCTGGAAGGGACAGGGGGCATCAGGGTGGCAGAAAGCTGCTGTGGCAGTGTCCTTGCTGCCCTCAGTGCCCCTTTCAAAGGCAGTCACTGGGCGCAGTCGCTCAGGCGCACACATTTTAAGCTCTTTCTGTCTCTTGCAGAGTCTGGTCCAATGGCACCACCCCAGGAAATTACTGCTCGCAGCTGAGCCTTTGAGTGTTTTCTTCTTAACTTCACCTTTGAGATGTGATTGGTTTGCTATATTTGTGCTTCTGAAAAGAGGCCATCCATAAATAGTACAGCCCTGACTACCAGGCAGATACCTTTCCAAAGTCTTTGACTCGCTCACCTCTGTCCACTGCCAGCTAGAAATATTTACAGCAAGAGCCAGTTCACCACCTGTTGCGGCAGGAGCTGAACTGATAGTGGCATCTCTACTTGGGCTCAGCTTGGAGTCTCAGAGGGCCTAAGGCAGTGCCAGCAGACCCAGAGCGTTGATCTCCACGGGTTCCACGTTTCCCTTGTTTTGCAGGTGTGCAGGGAATTGCCATTTTAGAGAGATCATTTCTGTTTCAAGTGTGCCAGTTTAATGGCAGTACTGAGCAGGATGAGAGATCTGGCAAGCACCAGACTCTTCCAAATGGTTACAGCTGCTGGCTCTGCTGTGTCTGGTGTGCATTGGAGAACTACAGGAAAGGAAGGCCAGTCAAAGCCCATGGAGGAGCAGATCTTGGGAGACGAGACTCGGACTGGGAGGAAAGAATTAGCGCCAGGTCCCTTGAGTTGCAGAACATTGTGCCCTGTGAAGCGACTGGCACTTAGTCTTCCACAAGGGGGTTACAATCGTCTTGCTGATACTTAAGTTTTTTCTTGAAGATGGAGATTGATGTGGACGGCTCATAAAAAATACTCCAGATCTCGCTTGCACGGGTTGCCCGGTAGGAATCTTCTCTCCCAGCTGCAGAGGGCACTTGGTGAGACCTAGGAAACAGCAGTTTTATTGTACAAACTGTGCTAAGAGGTATTGATTGTGATGCTGTTGATATTCCAGTAGTGCCTGCTGACTCCAACTGAGATTGGGATACTATTGTGTTAGGCACTGTACAGCTATGTCGGGAGAGGGGAGCCTGTCCCCTGTATGACTTACAGTCTAAATAAGCAAAACAGAAAAAGGGACAGAGGCCCAGAGAGAAGTGACCTGCCTGAGGTCACGCAGCAGGGCTTCAGAGTCCCAAGCCACTGACCACACTGCAATGCTACCGATTGCAATGCTGTTGGTCAACAGGATCAGATTGCTGTTCACGTTGCACTCCCTGCACCAACAGTACGTTTCAGCGGGGGGGGGGGAAATGTCACCATTTAGTGGCTACAACTTGCCTGATGTACTGGTAAATGAGAGAGATTAAAGACCACCTTTGTTTTATGTCTGGAGACATGGAAGAATGAGGGGAAGCTATGTTTTGAGTGCAGGAAATGGAAAGGAGGAGTGGGGAAAGAATAGTGCTGGGGAATGGTGCCAGGTTTGCTTTAGAAAACCAGAGTTAGCCTGAATTTTTTTACCCCTGGTTGATCTAGAAATCAGCACATGTATAATGCCCTATCTAGAGTGAGGATGTTGTATCTGTGATACCATAAACAGAGCAGCCATTTGAGACTTCATGAACAAAATAATAATTATTATTATAATATCAAGTTTGCAGGGAAGTAGAGGGCAGAGCAGAGAGATTTTGATGGAACAAAGACCCTTTTTGTTTGCAAATGTTCCTGCCAATAAAGACCCACGTGAGGATCTCAAATTGACAACAGAGGATGCCTCAGTCTAGTAGACAAAATTATAATGAGATCCAGTAGTTGAAAGTTGAAGCTAGACAAAATCCAACAAGAAAAAGGTGCACATTTTTAACAGTGAAACAAGGCAGCAAAATTTGCCACGGATTCTCCATCACTGGACATTTGAAGCTGTGCATTGGATCCTTCTCCATCCCCCACAAGAGAGAGACCCTGGGTCAAACGGGAATTGATTCAGAGGAGTCTTACGGTGTACTGTACAAGAGATCAGACTAGATGGCTACAGTGGTCCCTTCTGGCTTTATAATCCACAAGTATTTTTTAGAAATAACTCAGATCTCCGCTTATGCCGTGTTATGCTGTATCAATGTTCAATACTCTCACTGTTAACAACTGCACCTTGCTGCTAGGCTGAAGTTCTCTATCTTCCCCTTCCAGCCACTGGGTTTCACGTTACTTTTTTTTGTCTATCTTCACCTTCCAGCCACTGGGTTTCACGTTACTTTTTCTGTTAAAGAACGGTCTGCTATCGGAGATCTCTTCCCTTTTAGGTGCTTGCACACGGTGATCAAGTCCCCTGTTAACCTTTTCTTTCCCAGATTTAGTTTCTTAAACCTTTTGCTACGCAAGTTTTCACAACCTTAAATTATTTGAATGGCTCTTCTCAGAGCCCTTTCCAGTTTTTCAACAAAAGAAAGAGTACGAATATAAGCCAGCTGGTTCATTGCTGACAGAATTTTGTTTCACACATGCCCAGTGTGGGCTACTCTTTGATATGCTTTTAATACTTTGTGCATTAAAAATTAAAAAAAAATAGTTCTCCCAAAAGTGGTGGAAATCCTTGTTTTCTCTTCTGTATAATTTTGGTCTGGATGACAGTCTTTACCCACCCCCAGCAGCGGGAAGCTCTATAAAATAAAGCACAACAAAAGGGATTCTGGGGTTTCAGACAGGAAAGTTAGTGCTGTGCTTATCTGGCAGCTGCTCTGAGGGAGCACTGAAAGCAACACGTAACTCGTATTATGGAAGATAACCTATCGGGGCACAGCCAGAAGAAGAAAGGGGATCCCTCAAGGATGAGAGCAATTGCAGGACTGGGCCTTCGCCATTATGCCTGGGCCCCCGGTGCACTTAGAGGCAGGCGGTTCTGTCCATACTTACTTCATTGTGACGTGCAGAAGTATCTTGGCCAGTATGGCAGTGACGCTCAAGATGAGCAGTGCTGTAAGGCCATAGACTGTCCACTCTGGAAAAGAAAGATGCACAGCTCCTAGCACGTACATTCACTTCGCTTTTATAACTAAGGGTTAGTTTCCTGTTGCACTCTGCCTCTGACACTTGACATCCCAGCTTTAGGACAGCAGCAAAATCCCAGCAGTCTCTGAGTCCAGGCAGTCCATACCCTCTGGACCCTCTGGATTGTTCGCTCTGAAACATCAGACTTTGGCAGTCCAAAGTAAATCTCAGGAAATACTTCCCTGCTGAGAGATTATGAAGCTTCCTAATTCTCTGCCTAGGAAATGGATGAAAGACTTTCTAAGGTACTTTAAAAATAAAGTGCTTGGTGCACTGGGAAATGCACTCCAAGCAACAATTTTGCATTTGCAGGGAGCTGGGCAGAGCTCAGCGCAGTAGTTATCCTGCTGTTACTGTTCCCATTCCAGCCCCTAACCAGTGAATGGTCTGTGGTGTATTATTCTTCCCTCGGGCAGTGCAGCAGAGCCCTGACTCTTCTTTAATTGCCTTTGGGACTCCAGCAGCTCACAGGGGACTTAACGATGCCACAAAGCAGCAGCTGAAGATTCTCCTTGTACAAAGGAGTCGTGACCTAGCAGAGCCCCAGCCCCTTCTGACCTCTCCTCTGCAGTGGTCTCGGGACATTGCGGGGTGGGGGGATGTGTTGCGGGGCAGGCTGTAGCCTGTCACAGATGGGCAGGGCATCGGACTGGCACGATCTTCTGATCGTCTGGGCTGGTACAGCAGCCATGTCGGGTCCTTTATTTGCTGCTGCAAGTTAATGAGGCCCTGAGGCTACCGACACCCATGGATACCAAGGGTGCAGAGAGAACTAGACAAAAGCTACCCCTGCCTCATGGTCCCGGCACCCAGGTAGAGACCAGCTTCACAGCACTTGGTGGTTTGTGTGTGCCTCAGTTAGCAGCTTGTGCAGCAGATGTGTCCCCCAAATGCAAACAGGTGTGCTGGTTGTGGCTCACAGGGTTGTAGCACATCAAACCCCAGCGCACAAGCGGGGTTTGATGTGCTACAGGTCCTGTGATCTACAAGCCCAGCCAGACAATGTAAGCCCTGCCTGCTGCTTATGCTTGCTGTTCCTCTTTGGACATTACCAGGCATGGTGCCAGGGGCGTGACTTGGGCTGGTCGTGATGACATAAAGTATTTTTGAAGACCGCACTGCACTGATACTTAGATTTGCTTGTTCAGTTATCACCTCGGTGAGGGTCAGGTTGACGGGGGCTTTGTCCTGCTGTACCGTCTCCTTGGTCGCTGAAAATGCAATAAGAGAGAGGTTATCTAGATAAGGGCTGAACTGATTTATCTGGAGGTACACTTCTTGGATATGTATTTTGTTAAACAGGAATTGTAGTTTTTTTCCTGGCTCACGCTAAGAATTCCTATAGGCAGCTCATGGCTGAAACGGGCACAGCCTTGTCACTTACTCAGCTGCTTCCTCAAAGTTAATGAATTGTTCGTAAGAACTCCCAGCGGGCTTATTTGAGAACTAAAGAGTTTCCTCCCGGAGACAGAGTGTAGAGAAAGATCCATATAATTACAGAGTTGACATGGGACCATACTCTGTGAGATGCTGAAGCGGAGACTCTACTGCTGGCACATGAACTGTGTCCAAGAAACAGGATGTTCCTCTTTTATTACCTACTTACTAAGAAAATGAATCGGCGTAGTGGAACCAGAAGTGGTGACTAGGTAATTGCCACTGGAAGTTGGGAGCTTTCTAAGAGCTAACCCCATGCTAGGCAATGCTGGCTGGTAACACTCATGTGTAGCCAGCTGGTGACTAGCGGTCAGTGATGGTGGGCAGGCCTCTACCTGCAAGACGTGCTGGTAGAAATGTTGATGCTGGAGGGAAGGGACAGAGCAGCAGAAGCTGGGGCCTGGTCTGCACAGTCTTGCTGGCACAGGTGCATCAGCTAGGCTTCGAATGTAACCAGCATGGTTGCAGAACTGGAGGGTGCTGTCTGGCTGAGGGGAATGGACAGCTCGGGAGGGTGAAGGCAAAGCAGAAGGTGCCAATGGACTACGTGGGGTCACTATGCTTCAAATTTTGCTTTCCTTCCAACCTGTCTAGCAGGGCAGGGGATGGGGGGCTTGGTACTGTTAAGCCTCAGCCATCACCTGTGTCGGAAGGAGTTGAAAGCATTTCTGTGCACCAGGATAGACGCCCAGGCGGAAGGCCTCAGTCTCTGGAATCGGACAGATGGGACGAAGGATTTCCCCACATCCCCCCCTCC